GGAGGGGTGAAGGACAGACGGACGGACTGGGAAAGATTGTGTGCTGCAGAGTCTTGCTTGTCAGAGAACCCAGAGCCACTGATATTGGTGTGCTTTGCGAACCCTCTTGCTTTGTGCAAAGTCTTTCTGATGATTTTTCCTGACAGCCTCTGTGTTTCTTCCTTTTTTTTTTTTTTTTTAATTTCAAAAGGCTGTTTGTAGAGCTTTTGGTCCTATATACATCTTCGTCATGTAACCTATCCAAAGGGAAGTGTTTAGAAACAGGAATATGGTTTTCTAGTTTGCATTCTGTGGAGCCAACATGGCAACATTAGTTTACCTGAGAGTTAAGGGTGTGTATATTTCTCTATTGTACTTGTTGCATTGTAGGAAGTTTTCAGAGTTATTCAAGTTATTTTAGCATCAGAGATGGGAAGATACACAGGCACATCTCTCCTTTCTAGCCATTAGAAATACAACAATAATAACAGATTAAATAAGGATTAATTTACTGTCCTTTTCTGATGCTAGAATCAGCTTCCTTCAGCGGCCACCTAATTGATAGTAAATCCAGTGCTGACAAGTGACAGATCACCTCAGACCTCCTTTTGTCAGAATATTTTTACAGTTTCTCTGCTTGTGCATCCATGAAATTATTGTACTTTTCAGGCAACTCTATCCTGCAAGTACAAGGTGGAATTATATTACCAAGGAGATTGCTGTTCCTTCCTGTTCTTTTGAACCAAACAGCTCCAATGTGCATTTCATTCTAGAGATTTTTCTTTCTTTTTAGCCAGTCGCTGTAACAGTTTTTTTTTTTTTTTTTGCCACACAGAGCAACAACACATTATCTCCACCAGTGGGATGGAGCAAAAAACAGACAGATGGGTGTGTTTCTAGATCTGTTTAGAAGCCTTGTGGCACAGTGGTTAAACTGCAGTACTCAGTTGGTTGACTTAGACTTTGATCCTTCCAGTTTGGTCAATTGAACGCCCAGCTCTCTTTTTTTTAGGGGGGGGGGAAGAATGTGTAGCTTGCATAATTTAAAAACTTGTAAACTGCCCAGGGAATAATCCACCATCTTGGCTAGACAGAGCAGCAGACTGTCAAGCATGGAAGCCAGCTCTAGAGTCTTTTGTGACAAAGTGTAGAGTTCTTTTTCCATCT